GGGGGGGGGGGGGGGGGGGGGGGGGGGGGGGGGGGGAGTAATCACGATGTCAGCTTAACATCGTGATGTGTGTCAGCCATCGATGATGGACGATGGCATCGTCTATCGGCCCAACCCTATTTTCCACTGCGTGATACGACACGGCTCGCTTGACTTTTGCTTTTCCACTGCAGTTTAGTACTGCTACAAAGTGGGTGGGATTATAGACTGATCATTATAGTTGCGCCACCACCTCGTCTACTTTTTTTTCAAGTTGTGTGTGACGGTCGTTGAAAGCAACAAATGATACTGCGGTGGCTGTTGACCAATCAGTGACCAATCCAATGACCAATCAGTGATCTGCAGTGTTTATACGTCACATTTTAGTATCGGTACAGCTCGCTTGGTTACCTCAACTGAGGTGGTACTAAAAAAAATACCATGCAATGGAAAAGCACCATTACATTACATCAAAATGTTTGCCATTTCTGTGAATATTATGAGATTATTTAACATTTTAGTCCAATTATGTGAACAGAATTCTTAAGTTTTGCAAGTCCACTCATACGAGTCGTCAAAGAGATTAATGAGATTGTCACACCTAGCTCGTTTGAGCACTCCAAATGGTCCAAGGGTCTATATAACTGTATATGAATACTTCATATGAACTCAGAACACCCTAAAAGGAGCCAGTGTCCTTTTGTGGTTCAGCTGAGTCCCTTTTTAAATCCATAACTGTTTTTGTTCATTTAAAGTATACTATGTAAAACCACATTTAAAGTGTTCTATATGTGAATCCTGTGATTGCAAAGCTGGATTTTCAGCAGCCATTCACTCAAAAATGCTTACACAGTGTAATAATTAAATAGCCATATACTATATATGAAAATGCCAGCTATTGGGCATATTTTACAGACACACTTAAGTTGTGCAGTTCAGACCAGAGGTGCAGTGGTGTATTGTGCTTGTACTGATGACATTCCGATTGGTCTTTTGCTCAATTCTCACTCTGACAGTCCAGGTGATGTTAGCATAGCGGCCCTGCGTTTCTGTCTAACAAGCAGTCTCATCTCTGGCTCCACCTCCATAATTCATAACCTACTGTCAATATACACAATGCTACTGTGCTTTTTTGTGACAAGCAGCGCTGAACCGATAGATAAAAAGAAGAACAAAGAATGAATTGCAGATCTTGTTGACAGCAGCAAAGAAAGACTATTCTCTTTTCATCACATGTATTGTTATATAGGGGAACGTGTTGTCAGCTAACAGAAAGCAATCTTGAGTTTTATTTGCAGAGTTGAAGGTGCTCCCTTCAAATAAAGCATCCCCGCATCATTTTGACCTCACATGTGTCAACAACATTATTCAATACAGCATGTGGCTTTGTCAGTCTGCGATCATGAGCGTATGTTTACATTTGTATTCACGTCATTGCCATCCACAAAATAATATGCCTCGGGGGAGGGTGAGGGAAGGTGTTATTTGTCTGTGATTTTGCCATGGTAATATCCAGTCTAGATTTCAACAAAGCCTTTCGACGGTGCAGATGGTACAACCTTTCCCTCCCAGCGGAGTACAGCTGTGGGACTATGGGGAGGATGTTTGGAGAAAACATTGCTGAAATGTGTTTGCATTAAGTAGTCTCTTGGCTGGTTTAGCAGCCCGTGACAGATGCAGTACGCCAGTGCGAGATTGTTATTTGAGATTTGAATATCCCTGATGCTTGAATGATGGGGGCATATCACACATGCAGTAAAATACATTTAGAGGTTTATAAACTGTGTACAGGGACAAATTGAATGTGTTATCTTGTGCTTACAGATGAGGTTTGTAAGGAATGTGACATCCTGGCGAGAAATGAAACCAGGTTTCTACCACGGCCATGTCTCCTACCTGGACTTCACAAAGTAAGTTTTGCTTGATACAAAACCATCACTACGATCACTGGAAGCAATTGCACTACACTTCACCGTAGTTAAAATGGTTATATGTGTTCTTAAGGCACACAAGTCCTTATCTAATAGCACATTTGTTGTTGTATGTTCCTGTAAAATGGGACATCCATCAGACAGCTACTTAATTTACTGATGTGAGAAGATACGTTTAAGTGTTGCACTCTAGTGGTTGAAAGTGGAACGTTTTTATTTTTTCTTGTGGATTTGAAATCTGAAATCCGAATTTTTTTTGTTTTGATTTGGTTTGTTTTTGGTTTTATTTTTGTTTTGTTTTACATGATCAAAAGGAACATAACATATTGAAATTTAGAAATTTGTAATCAATTTAGATTTTTTTTTCACAGATTGTTGTGGTGATAATATAATTGTAACGAAGAAAATGGAAAATAAAGAATTTAGAACAAAATGTAAAAAAAAAAAAAAAGCATTTTGACAGGTGTCTTGTGGAGTGTACTCCACATAATATATAACATAATATAATATAAAATGAATTATAATATAATATAAAATAATGTTTGCTTGAATAGGTTTGGAGTCAAGGGGAAGCCGGTTTACATCAACATTGTACGGGACCCTATCGAGAGGTTGGTGTCTTACTATTATTTTCTCCGATTTGGAGATGATTATCGGCCAGGTCTCAGGCGGAGAAAGCAGGGGGACAAAAAGGTATTATCTTTTTACTGAAGTAACTGTTAATTTTCTCCCCATGTGCATGCTAAGATGCAATATGTGTGAATGTGTTTCAGACATTTGATGAGTGTGTGTCATCAGGAGGTTCTGACTGCGCTCCTGAGAAGCTTTGGTTACAGATCCCGTTCTTCTGTGGCCATTACTCTGAGTGCTGGTGGGTAATATGAGCAGCCTGTTACTATGCTTTTCATGTAATGCTCGTTCGCATTAGACAAATTGATTGATTTACTCTTTACTGGTTTGTTCTCTAAACTGCTGTATGTAGGAGCTGGAAATGATCTTGTGTGTCTGTTTGTGCAGGAATGTTGGCAGTAAGTGGGCTCTCGAGCAGGCCAAGTATAATTTGGTGAATGAGTATCTGCTTGTGGGAGTGACTGAGGAGCTGGAGGATTTTATCATGATGCTCGAGGCAGCCCTGCCACGTTTCTTCAGAGGAGCGACTGAGCTGTACCGCACAGGTACTTGGTCATCTTTTAAGAATTAAAGGAATAGTTAAAAAAAAAAAAAAAAAAGACCATTCTGCTCTCTACTTTTACTTTACTTTTATCTACTCACCTTCGTCTTTCCAAATCCAACTTTATTTTTTCCATGTAACACAAAAGGTGAATACAATAGCTTTGTGTGAGATTGAGAAACAGCCTGAAGGTGAAATTCAAACATTCATGACAGCCCATGAAAGAAGTACCTTAACAATGTGTGATTTGTAGATGAATAATTCTTAGTCAAATCTTTTCAATTAATTGGTTGAAATGAATTCATTTGGAAACCCTTTTGAACATTTTGTTCATGAACCGGACTGATCCAGTTCTCAAGTTATACATGTACTTATGGTTCTTTTGCATCCATTATGAAGCTTGAAAGCTCATTGTAATTGCATGGAAAAGAATGACTAGAACATTAAAAAACATAATTCTCCTTTTGTGTTCAGTGGAAGAAAGATATTCATAAGGGCCCTATACTATACAGGGTTTCTGCAGGTATCATCAAATGTAATTTATTGCTTTTTTAATGCCATTTTTACATTTCTTTAATGACTTAAAGGGATAGTTCACCCTAAAATGAAAATTTGATGTTTGTCTGCTTACCCCCAGGGCATCCAAGATGTAGGTGACTTTGTTTCTTCAGTAGAACACAAACGGAGATTTTTAACTCCAGCCGTTGCAGTCTATCAGTCGTGTAATGCATGGCAATTGTAACAAAATCTATGAGAGTAAAAAAAAACATGCACAGACAAATCCAAATTAAACCCTGCGGCTCGTGACGACACATTGATGTCCTAAGACACGAAACGATCGGTTTGTGCGAGAAACCGAACAGTATTTATATAATTTTTTACCTCTAATACACCACTATGTCCAACTGCCTTGAGCGCGCGCACGGCATCCGGTGCGTGAGGTGTGTACACGCTCATCAAAACTTTCAGAAATCATTGTAACATTATAAAATAAATCGTTTGTAACATTATAAATGTTATAAAATGTTATATAATGTCATACTGGTAAAAAATGTATAGCCTGAGTGCACTGTAAGTCACTTTGGATAAAAGCGTCTGCAAAATGCATACATTATTATTAATTATTATTATTATAAATGCCATTATAAATAACTTACTGACCCCAAACTTTTGAACTGTAGCTACTGTATATAAAGCACATTACACCATGAACCTGCAATAAAACGCTTTCTGTTATATGAAATTGCATATGAATTCCTAAAATATTAAATTACAGATTGTCAATTTTCCAACCAAACTTTAATACATCACAATATATTTATGATTTTTGAACGTATCATATAGTTCAAAATGTCATCATATTTTCATCAAAATTCATCAACCTATGAATTTAAAATTCAAATTGTTAGTTTAAAAAAAATCCCCTGATGTGTTTTATTCAGATATTCAGCATTGAATATTTTTTTAATTATACAAACCAGTGCAACCTCCTGAGTGACCTGCATTTTATTTTGTCTTTGACTTCAAATGCAGGCAAGAAGTCTCACCTGAGGAAAACGAGCGAGAAGAAACCTCCCACTAAAGAGTCCATCTCAAAGCTGCAGCAGTCCAACATATGGAAGATGGAGAACGAGTTCTATGAGTTTGCACTGGAACAGTTTCAGTTTGTGCGCGCTCACAGCGTCAGGGAAAAAGACGGCGAGCTTTACCTGCTGGCTCAGAACTTCTTTTACGAGAAAATCTATCCAAAAGTAAACTAGAGTTGACATTAGCATGGTCCATTTGGCCTGTTCATGTACTGTTCTGTCACTTTCACTGGGAAGAGAAGAAGAAATGCCTGGAAGAGGGGCCAAGCGTTTTAGAGTATGTTTTTTGAGAGACTTCACACAAGTGCTGACTGTGACGCTCGATATCAAGCCCAGTATCTTTTTATGGACTTTCACAGCAGTGAAAACATTTGTGACATCGACATCAAATTTTCACGCAATTCATCATGCCTTCCAAAAGAAAATGACAGAACCTCTTTGACCATCAGTCACTGCTGTGAAAAATCAATTCTGAACAGGGTCAAAAGAGTGCTGCTTTTGGTACCAGACGTTTGGTACATTAGGAGCACCTCCTTATTTTACTACTATCTGTGGTTTTGTGAAGTAACTCTTTCCTGCATTGTGTATATTCATTTTTCATAGAATGCCATGAACAGTGTTTACAGACTTTAGTAAAGGTATTGTAGCCAGAGTTTAGAATGTGGTAAAACAGATTTCATATCTGTACAAATTGTATTTACATGTATATTTTATTTAATTGGACCAAATGGTTGTAAGAAATTCAAAGTTGTAGAGTTTTAAACTAGTTATTTGGGGGGGGGGTCCCACTGGTGCTTGCTTTCTTTTCTATTTCTCCTTTATTTTCCGTTGCATCTCCTGAAGACAGAACAGTTCAACTTTAAACTGACCTCTAAGATGAACTTTCATCTTTCATTGTTCAACTACAGAGACTGTTTTTGACAGGTTAAAGTATCATCTAGTAGCAGAGTATTGACTTGAAGTAACTTGGTCTCAACAGCCTACTACCCTCTCAGAAGTCCTAATTATACTGCATTTTACCAGAAGATAAAAAAGAAAGAAAGAGGCTCAAACCAACATTAGTTGTACACTAAATAGTGCCTTCATGAATCATTCATTCCACCTTGGTTTCAGCAGTTGTTCAGATCATTTAAACAAAGTCTGTATATTACATTTTTTAAAACTGCCAGCTTTCCTTTTTTTTTGTATAAATTGTCTCAAAGCATTTCAAATAAACTTTGCTGTCTGCCGAGACCATGTTGTTTTCAGGATGCTTAGTTTCTCTTACAAACACTAATAATTCAGTTTTCAACCTGGGCTTTGGTGATATGCTTAAAGGTTGCGTACATTTTGAGAGGAGAGTTTAACAAGTTAACTTGTTAACTTGTTAAATTAAGACAAATTAATTATGTTAAACTTGGTCATTTTTTTCCTTACTGATTTATCAAATAGAATGATCATATTAATTTATCAGATAGTACAAAAGTTTGGGGTCACTAAGATTATTTTCCCAAGGCTGCATTTGTTTGATCAAAAATACACAGAACATATTTAATGTATTTGAAAATGTATTCGATTCATGTGATGCCGAAACTTTATTTTCAGCAGCCATTACTCTTTCAGCACATTATCCTTCAGTAATCCTTGCAACATCCTGATTTGGTGATTAAGAAATATTTATTTTTATACATGCTTTGTTGCTTAATATTTTTGTGAAAACTATTATTTTGGGAGTCTTTGATACATAGAAAGCTCAAAAGAACAGCATTTATTTGAAATTAAAATATTAAATCTTTTGTAACTATTTACTTGTACAAAAAAAAAAACATGTTTACTGTTACTTGTGATCAACTTGATGCATCACTGTTGAACAAAAGTATTAATTTCTATTAAAAAAAAAACTATGTAACTATACAGTTTTGGTTTACAGTACACTATTTCTTTTTATATTAATAACATCCTCTCTACTGTAAATACCCACTTTCCATTATCAAGTCCTAACCTACATTTTAATTTCTTGTCGAATAATTTATTTCTCTCAGAAATATGTCACAGAAAATGGTTTACGACAGGGCTGTACAAGGTCAGATGTAATCACACTATTATAGTATTGTAATAGCTGCACTAGTAAATATCAAGTAGCCTGTGCCACACATCTTGGTATGGGTCACTTCTTATTATCAGTTGTTCTGTCTCAGTTTTAGTTTCACCATTAACAAGGGGAGACAGTCATGGTGACTAGGAAAAATCTAATCTAATTCAGAAATGGGACTGGAGGAGAGTGTGTTCAATGTGATCAGTGGACAACAACACATCTGCCTTCATCTCCACACAGACGGACAATATACAGGCCAAAACGTCTCCTCAATATACATGAGGAGAGAACGTCTGCTTCACAAAAGGGAACTCGATTAACTTTTGTTTTTAGCTGCAGGCATAACAAAGCATTGTTTCATTAGGCAGATGAATGCAGGCTGATAATTACTCCTCAATTAAAAAGAGCCTGTACCATGTATTGATTAGCAAGGGAGAAGGTTAATTAGGAGCGCTGAAGTTCTCGGTGTTCTGTCGATGTAGCGTTGCTGTCATTTGTTTGTTTCCATGTCAGTGAGTATCTTATGAAACATGATTGTCTCTGAGTTATTGTGTTTAGAATGCTTTTACGTTTACTGACAGTTATCTCTTGAAGGATCACTGATGGGTAAGAGCTATAGCATTCTCGGAGCCTAAAACGATTGAATGTTTTCAAGTGTGACCAGCTGGGTCTTTCTAAGTATTTGGGTGGTATTTGTGTCCCTTACATAAAACAATTATGGTAATAATGTAAAATCAATAACTCTAATAGGACTATTTACAGTTAATCTTAAATTTTTTTCTTTGTTCATAAATATTTGTTGGCCTGTTCCCAGTCTAACTTGCCTTTGCTGTGTTAGCAAATACAACTTAAAAATATATACAGGAAGATAAAATGTTAGCATTTATTTCCTGTGAGTGTGTGTGTAGTCCACTTTAGACATTCTATTAACTAACTATTTATGCAAAGTTGCTTAATAGTCAGTAGAAAGCCTAAACTGAACTATTGAAATAAAGTGTAACATATATTATATTATATATTTAGATAATTTATGTAATTTGCCCTTGTTTTTTATATATTTCTAGGCTTTGACAAACCCTTTGTCCTTGTCTGTTCAGATTATCCATCAACCCGGTTACCATTCTGCTTATTTTATTTTGAATTAAGAATGACAAAGACAGTGGCTGTGTTCGAAATGCCATACTATCATACTACTCTTACTATTTCTGTAGTATCCAGTATGTATGCTGTGCATAGTATGCAAATTTTCTGTATGCATGTAATACCCGGATGACCTACTATATTCACCAGAATCTGCTAAATATAACTCAAGTACACTGAAATCAGTACAGAAGCTGTTCGGAATTGCATACTACCATACTATATTGCAGTATGCCGTGTGTATACTGTGAATAGTATGTGAATTTTCTGTATGCATGGAATGCCCGGATTACCTGCTACATTGGCTGAAATTTGATGTATGCATCTGAAGACGCTGCATGGGATACTGTTTCCCAGAACGCAATGCGCTCCATGTGACGTTTCATCTTCAAACGCGTGAGTGAACTGGAGGTGGGGAATAGTAATTATAAATGTAACACTTGTGTTTGTATGTATATACATATACATGTAAACTACAAACTATCTCAGTGTATCTAAAAACAGTATCGTTAGTAGGACATAAATTGTACTTTAATCTCTACAGCACGTTTCCGATCATCAAATGACGTCACTTTTATCTTTATAGCACTTTATACAGCACAGATTCTTTCAAAGATATTAAATAATAATAATATTGCAGCAATATAATGTATAAATAAAATGTATAAATACAAATATTTCAATTATGCAAATAGAATTCAATTCCACTGTCAAGCAGCTCTAAAAAGAAATGGAGTGTATTACTCTAAGGGCAAATAGACCAATTTGTTGGCAGAGGCTATTTTCATTAACTCCGTCCACCAATGCCTGGCTTTGATTTACAGCACTGCAAAAGACACTTGCATTTACGAAGGATCAGTGGCGCAGCAAGTAAAACGTGAGCTGTTTGCTTTTGACGCAGTCGACCCGAGTTCGATCTTGACTTTTGTCAAACTCATGCTTCTTCTTTTCCCATCACATACACTCTTAAAAATAAAGTCGCTTCACGATGCCATAGAAGAACCTTTTTGTCTAAATGGTTCCATAAAGAACCTTTAACATCTGAAGAACCTTTCTGTTTCACAAAAGGTTCTTTGTGTCGAAAGAAGGTTCTTCAGATTACAAAAAGGTAAGAAAGAGATGGTTCTTTAAAGAACTTTTGACTAAATGGTTCTTCGCAGAACCAAAAATGGTTCTTCTATGGTATCGCTTGAAGCACCTTTATTTTTAAGAGTGTACCAGATCAGAAAGAAATTTATTTTCAATAAAAATTAAGTAAATATTTGAAAAGTGGAAATAAAACGCCTTAATAATACAGTGTTGTGTATGCTTTAGGTAGGTTTTTTTCCCAATAAAGTGGCATTCATCTAATACAATTGATACTTGGGCCAAATGCAGGAAATACATCATATAAGTAGTCAAGTGCAAAGACTGCAAGTGTGGGTATTTGGACAAGGCATATGTTGTGGCCACGACTGAACTTGTCCCTTTCCAGTCATCATAACATTATCATCCTTTCAAAAAGCACATTCTTCAAAGGCAAATAATTAAAGGGATAGTTCACCCAAAAATTTAAATTACCCCATGATTTACTCACCCTCAAACCATCCTAGGTGTATATGAGGCTTTCAGATGAGTACAATCGGAGTTATATTTAAAAAAAAAATGTCCTGACTCTTCCAAGCTTTATAATGGCAGTGAATGGGGGTCGAGATTTTGAAGCCCAAAAAAGTGTGTCCATCCATCATAAAAAGTACTCCACATGGCACCGGGGGGTTAATATAGGCCTGCTGAAGCGAAGCGATGCGTTTGTGTAAGAAAAATATCCATATTTAAAACTTTATAAACCATAATCTCTAGCTTCCGCTAACTGTGATACGTGCGTATAAGAGAGAATGGTTTTCGTCTGAAAGAAGGAAGTCGTATACACCTAGGATGGCTTGAGGGTGAGTAAATCATGGGGTAATTTTCATTTTTGGGTGAACTATCCCTTTAAGCACTTTGTCACTTCTGTTATCCTTTTGTTTTATCTCATATTTTGTTCATTGTAAGGTGACAATCTCAAAATGTCAACTCTGTTATCTTGATTTTGTATAGCAAAAAACTGAAAAATTTATAAATTAACATCAAATTTTCTGCCAGCTTTCAGTTTCACAACCTCGAACAAAAGGCTTTTAATGTTAAAATAAACTGTAAACCCTATTACCTTTGTGAGAGTATAATTACATCCAAACATACTGTATATTAAAATATATCAGTTTAAGTTGAAATGACACGGTGCAATTGATTAACACTTCAAATTCAACAATTCAGTTGTTTAATAGAATGTTTAAAATCTTACCAGGATTAGCATAATCACCATATTTACCAATATGAAACTGGAAAAGACACCCATTATACATAATGATCCAGATATGTGTGATATTGAAATTGTGTGATATTGGCATTTAAATAAATGAAAAAATTAAAATATACTGTCATAATCTAGATTAATTATGAAGGAACTTTCTTTTCTTTCTTTCTTTCTTTCTTTCTTTCTTTCTTTCTTTCACTTTTGATCTAATATATACTGTCTTGTATTAAATGCAGCATGTACTTATTTACTATGTCCATCAGCTATTCTGGTCATTTTTTTCTTCTTCCACAAGAGGGAGTATTGTGTTCACTGATCTGTCCTTCTCATCGAATTAGCTCAGCTGGAACTGTTCAACAAGCCCCATTAATGCACCTGTACTGAGCCAAATGGACCAAACGAATGGGGCATTACCATTAAGAATACAGATTGGCCAATTAGAGCTACACCGGCTTTCAGCTGGTGGCAGCTTTAAATAAAGCTCTTTACTTTAGACCTGGCAATTCGTGCCCCTCTCTCTGTTCTCTTGCATAAATGACATTACGGTTTAAGTCACTGTGTGCAAATGGATGTCTGGACCTTGATGCAGACCTTCCAGGGAATAAGTTTAGCATTTCAGGGAAGACTTTGTTGTCATGATGTCTTCAAGAAGCTTTTAGCAAAATAAGCGATTTACAGGT